TACTGGGGGGTTCCGGTAACCTCCCGGTACTCCGGTAAAATGCCGATTTCACCCGGAACACTTCCGATGTCCAAACATAGGCTTCCAATATATCAATCTTTATGTCTCGACCATTTCGAGACTCCTCGTCATGTCCGTGATCACATCCGGGACTCCGAACAAACTTCGGTACATCAAAACTTATAAACTCATAATATAACTGTCATCGAAACCTTAAGCGTGCGGACCCTATGGGTTCGAGAACAATGTAGACATGACCGAGACACGTCTCCGGTCAATAACCAATAGCGGAACCTGTATGCTCACATTGGCTCCCACATATTCTACGAAGATCTTTATCGGTCAGACCGCATAACAACATAGGTTGGTCCCTTTGTCATCGGTATGTTACTTGCCCGAGATTCGATCGTCGGTATCTCAATACCTAGTTCAATCTCGTTATCGGCAAGTCTCTTTACTCATTTCGTAATACATCATCTCACAACTAACTCATTAGTTGCAATGCTTGCAAGGCTTATGTGATGTGCATTACCGAGAGGGCCCAGAGATACCTCTCCGTCAATCGGAGTGACAAATCCTAATCTCGAAATACGCCAACCCAACATGTACCTTTGGAGACACCTATAGAGCTCCTTTATAATCACCCAGTTACGTTGTGACGTTTGGTAGCACACAAAGTGTTCCTCCGGCAAACGGGAGTTGCGTAATCTCATAGTCATAGGAACATGTATAAGTCATGAAGAAAGCAATAGCAACATACTAAACGATCGGGTGCTAAGCTAATGGAATGGGTCATGTAAATCACATCATTCTCCTAATAATGTGATCTTGTTAATCAAATGACAACACATGTCTATGGTTAGGAAACATAACCATCTTTGATTAATGAGCTAGTCAAGTAGAGGCATAGTAGTGACGTTTAGTTTTGTCTATGTATTCACACAAGTATTATGTTTCCGGATAATACAATTCTAGCATGAATAATAAACATTTATCATGATATAAGGAAATAAAATAATAACATTATTATTGCCTCTAGGGCATATTTCCTTCATAATTATGCTAAGCTAACGGATGGGTCTTGTCTATCACATCATTCTCTAATGATGTGATCTCGTTCATCAAATGACAACACATGTCTATGGTTAGGAAGCTTAACCATCTTTGATTAACGAGTTAGTCAAGTAGAGGCATACTAGGGACACTCTACTTTGTCTATGTATTCACACATGTACTATGTTTCCGGTTAATACAATTCTAGCATGAATAATAAACATTTGTCATCATATAAGAAAATATAAATAACAACTTTATTATTGCCTCTAGGGCATATTTCCTTCACCTAGTGGCATGGCTTTAGCAACAATGACCCCTACATCAGCTTGCGGGGCCCTTCAATGGTGCTATTATTGAAGTTAGTGTGTCTCATTCGGAATTTTTCTTGAAATAAACTTCAAGCTTTATTAATTAGATATAATAGTTACATAGTCAATAAGGAGAGATACACTATCATCCATAGGCTCGTCAAACCAATCTCTAGTCGCAAAAAACTTCGCTAGCCTAGCAACTTCATGAGCAACCTTATTTGCTTCCCTATTAGAATGTTCAAACCTAGTAACAGTAAATTCGCAAGTCATAAAATAGCAATCATCGAACACTGCCGCCGCCCGCTCCCGTCGATTGTCCTTCATTTTTCATTGTGTCAATCACTTCCGTATTATCCGAGTTGACAATAAGGGGCGATTGTACCCGCCTTCTGTGCAAGGGTAAGGCCAAACCTTAGTGCCAATGCTTCTATTATTAGTACATCAGCACAGTAGTCAATCCTCCAACTTCCGGCAACAATGAACCTTCCTTTATCATCTCTGAGGACTGCCCCTGCCGTGCCTCTAAGCAGATCATGGTCAAAAGAAGCATCAACATTTAGCTTCACAAAACCCATGGAAGGTCTAAACCATCCCCCTATTTTACTGACTGCCTTAGGGGAGTTTGCTTTAACATAGTTTGCCGTTATAGGATGAGCCCCCATCGAAGTTTGATATGCATCTTGAGACTTTCTTTCATGAACTAGTTTACGTCTATCCCACCATAAATACCAAGCTGTTATAACGATTATTATCACTCTGTGCCTTTCATTGTCTTAGACCATATTATGCACAAAGTAAGACTCTATGGAATTTGTAGTGTACGGTTCTTATCCGGGAAAAAAATTTGAATACAAATTCAAACAAATAAATAATATCTCCATGCCAAAATATAGCCAACAAAAATGTCATATATGTGTATTTGGTGGGGGGCGCAAATATGAGGTACTTTCTTCCATTTTTACTACAATTGATGTGTTTTTATGTGTGTCATCCAAAGTACACCTTTGCGACCTCTTTGATTCGAAGGAATCCACATGAAGTTTGGAGGGCCCTATTCCTTATGTTTTTTCTTTCCTTTTCCCTAAAACTTTTGTGTTTGCATAGTTATAAAATAAACTATATAAACGTCGTTTGTTCCATGACAACTATCTCATACACCTAGTCTCTTAGAAATATTTTAGTGCTTTCCATATGGTGTAGCCAAACATCTTCCGATATCCATTTTGCATACTCAATTCATTAAGGATACAACAGCCAACAGGCCATGGCATTCAATCATGTTTTTTCTTTATTACCGCATTATTTGATACGCATGAAACATGAAGACAATTGATATTTTCATGGTTTTGATCCCTACATAAATCCAGGATATCCACCATTACGACTCCTTGAGTTCCAATGAAGTTTCTAGTTTATCTGGCTTGTTGGTCAAGGATAACCCCACTAAAGTCACTATCTTGTCTCATCGAGGAGTATATAATGCAATAATGCATCCTATAAGTGGCATTTGCTATAAGAAGTCAAATGCTAAAGATCACCGATCATTATCCAGAATACAATCAATAATAGAGAGACGCCAACTCTCTTAAACTTATCTTCCTTTCTTTATACTGAACCTAAACACAACATGGAGCAATCAATCAAAATGTACTAAATAAAATTTCATCCAAATTTCTAGTCTAGACGAGCAAGGTGGCCAACGCCACTAGACGAGACATCGTTGCACTAAGAGCACCATTGAAGAGACGCATAGTGGCTGGAAGAGATCATCAACGCTAGAGCCATACCACCAATGCCAAGTACCGCCACACTACCTACACACACGCCAACGACACTGAGAGTTCCACTAAGGATGACTTGCATTTGATATGGTGGAGGCACCAGCCATGTCGCCCTAGAAAGAACGAGTTGGGGCGAGATAGGGGCTTTTTAACCACCATCGATCAACTATAATCCTATGCCTAAATATCTCAACTATAATCATTCTACATTTTTTCATTGTCTTAGCCACGTTACGAACAAAGTAAGAATGCACGAAATTTGAAGGATAAGATTCTTATCTGAAAAATTCTTTGGTACCATTTCCAACAAGTAAATTTTATGGAGTAAATTTTTAGTCTGAAACAAGATTTGGATGAAATTTATTTCGATGGTACCTGGCATGAGGTGTCATCCAAATCTCATGGGAGACATCGCCGTGTCATCCAAATTTCAGACAAGTAAATTTCATCCACGTTATGAACAAAGTAATATCTTAAACCCATTGAAATTTATATGGAGTTTGGCTATTTCACAAGATTTTTGGATGGAACCTGGCATGAGGCGTTCTATTCATTTGTAATGTGTTGTTATGTGCGTCATCCTCTTTGATTCAAAGAACTTGCCACGCGAAATTTGGAGGATCCTATTCATTTGAATTTATTTCCATATAGCTTGGTTGCTTTGTATAATTAGAAACTATAGGAACTTCTGTTTGATCCCATGATGGGATGTCATATGCCAAATCTCCTTCGAAATATTTCAGTGCTTTTCGTGTGGTTTAACCAAACAACTTTTGTAAGGATTTATATGTATTCAGATCAATTAGGATTGAACAAACCATGCCATCCAATTCCTGCATTTTTTTCTACCGCCACATTTTTCTTGTGGGGGCTATCACCGCATTATTTGACAAGTGTGAAATACTAAGAACATTGATATTTTTCGCGGGTTTGGTTCCTAATTTCCTACAGAAATGAGAAATCCATGATATATGCCACTTCAATTCATGACAGTATCTAGCTTAGTTGGTCAACGATAACCTCACCAAGTCACTATCTTATCATAGTGACAAGTGAGGAGTATACAGCGCAATAATGCGTCCGTCGTATAAGTGACACTTGCTTCAATAAGTCAAATGCCCATGATCATCAATCATTATCCAAAATACAATCAATAATCGAGATGAGTCAACTCTCCTAAACTTCTCGTGACTAGTCCTTCTCTGCTTTCGGCCCTAAGACTACCCACAATGGGAGTAACATAGATAGTAACATCACACATATCTAGATAAAATAGATGATGTGGCAAGCAATAAGTGAAGAAATAGAAGGAAGTGGTAACATAGCTAGTTAATAGTAGTATGAGTAATATCACACATATCAAGGCAAAATGTATCTATAGCCTAATAAATGAAGTGTTGCATGTTACCACACATATGTTACTTTCCACTATAGAGGTAGTAATACTAGTCTATGTTACTACCCATTGTGGCTAGTCTAAACGAAACGCAACATGGGACGGCGAGCCGGGAGCATTCAAATTAAAAGATCATTTCAATATTCAATATGTTAGAATATATCACCCGTCTTTTGATTAGTTTATATTTTTGGATGAATTGAATGAAGCATGAATTTAATACCATCAATCAGTGAGTTTTGTACATTAGCGACACAATCAATTGCCGGGTAGCAATCAATCAATCAAAATAGTATCAGAAAGAAGATTTGATTCTAATTTCCAATCAATCAGTTTGTACACTAGCGACCGCGAACAGCAATTTCCAATCGCGTCGACAGAAAGGGAGTAGGAAAATGGAAACACAAAAAAGGGACGGAATGTGCACACGGGGCATATGCCATATGGCAGCGCAGATCACGATCGCGGATCCGCCGGCGCGTGGGACGGCGGAGGCGGCGTGGCGGCGCCGGAGAAGGCGTCATCGGAGGAGGCGGGGTGGAGTGCCCGGATCTTGATGTGGTACCGCGGCGGCCTGGTGGCGGTGGTGTTGTCGTCGTAGCCGAAGCCGAGGTGCGCGCCGCACTTGCGGCAGAGCAGGCGCGTGCGGCGCGCGAAGAGGCGGCGCGCGCGCAGGTCGAGGCAGCGGAACTCGTCGAGGTGGCCGAACCGCGCGTCGTCGATGGCGTCGAACACCACCACCGCCGCGCCCCGCCAGCCCCGCCGCCTCGCCCCGCCGGCGCCGGCCCCCACGATCCCCGCCGTGTCCCGCGCCGACGAGCTCAGCTTCAGGTCGTACCCGCACCGCCCGCAGCTGCACGCACGGAGAAACAAGGCCGCGTCAGCACGGTGATCCATGGCGCGGACGAACGCATCGAGAAACCAAGAAAGCCGAATGCGGCCAGGCGAGAGTGGTAGACGGACCAGTAGGTGACGGTGGAGGCGGTCCGGGGGAGAAGGGGAGAAGGCGTCCCCGTGCGCTTGTCGGACTCCATGGATCGATCCGTGAGCTGCTCCGATTGTCACTTGTTTCCTGATTTGTCTTGCGTGGAATGGGAGATGGACGAAGGGTATATATAGCCATTAGGGCAAGGCCCGAGGTGGGAAGGTGGGAGAGTGTGTGGGGTCGCGCCGACCGCATCCAGGTCAGGTGGGCGGGCGGGCGCGGGCGGGGGGAACATGCCGGTCGATGGTGGCCGGTGGCCGGTGGTGCTCTGCGGGCTGCGGGTCGTCTCCTCTGCCTGCCCTGCCCACGTTGCTGCGACCGACCCGGTCATCGTCACTGTGACGAGCTCGGCCACCAGCCCACCACCATGCATCATTACTCTGCATTTTCCTATGTCTTGGTCTAAGATTTTCTTAGAAATTTGTTTACCCACCCTGTCGATGGGTCAATGGAACATTTACTTTATCCTGGTTTTGTTTGAGTAATGAATAATGCAATAATGGTCATGAAAAAAACTATATACGGCTGCAAATGCGCTGTACAAGTAACACTTGGCGCCTTCGTTTAAGGGGTATTTGGTTCAGAAGTCCTAGGACTTTTTCTAGTCCCAGAGACTAATCAAAAAAGACTTTCCAGTAGAATCTTTTTCTAGTCCCTGTAGAAAAAGTCCTTCCCGTTTGGTTCCTAGGGACTTTTTCTAGTCTCTGGGACTAAAAAGTCCATGAACCAAACACCACCTAAGTCGATGCTCGAGGTCTACCATTTATCCAAAAAAGGAAAGTCGATGCCCGGGACAAATCAACTTTCTTGCACTTCTCTTTGTTCTGGATTCTGGTGAGACCAAAGGACAAGATGCTTGATACTGCCCTGCAAATAAAAAAGCGCTCAATCCGGGTACTATGTTTTCAATACTCCTTCCTTCGTCTCATAATATAAGAGCGTTTATGAGACTACACTACTGTAAAAAATGCCCTTATATTATGAGGCAGAGAGAGTGCATGTTATACTATCATACAACTTATCTATGATTTCGGGACCCTTTTTTTTCTTTCTTGTTTTCTAGTTTTCGTGATGTATTTTTATTTTTAACACGTGAGCAATTTTCAATTTTCCTGATTTCTTTAAAAGGTCTTGAAATTTAAAACTCATGCACGCTGTAGAGAAATTCATGATTTCCCTTCTTTAACAGCCATTGTTTTTTTGAAATTCAAATGTTTACAAAAATAATGAGCAATTTTATTCATCCTTTTTTTAAAATTCGAAAAATAGAGAAAAATACGTAAATTCACAATTCCCTTTAAAATTCGTGGAAAATTTTAAAGAGAATTATTACTATTTTAAATTGAAAAAATTTCATGAACATACTTTTAAATCCTTGTTTTAAATTACTATTTAAATTGTAAAAACAAATTGTGAACATTATTTCAATTTCTGATTAAAAAGTGTGAACCTTTTCAAATTTTATAATATTTTAATAAATTCATGAACATTCTAAAATCTAGTGAGTAGGATTTAATTCTGCAAGGATTTTTTTTTTGTGAATGTGGTCGATTTTTTTAAATCATGTATAACTTTTTTTCAGGTGCATTTTCAATTTTTTGTAAACTTTTTATAGTGAATAGTTGTCGATATTTTAAGTCATTTTTTTCAGCAAAGTAGTACTTGTAAGAACGGAGCTTCCAAACCGTGTAACAAAAGCACAAATGACTGTTTCCTGAGAACGAACACATGACTAACTGGGCTGGCTTCGAGAAAGCCCAAGAGGATAAAAGGTACTACGTTAGTGATCTAAACACTCTTACATTTCTTTACAGAGGGAGTACTATCTTCGTCCCAAAGTATACTTTAAACTGCAAAAATGTCTTCTATTTTGGGATGGAGGTAGTATGCTTTTAGTGACAACTTCATGCTTAGAGCATGTGAACGGCGCAGCCAATCTCCTTTGGAAACTCCTATATGACGCATACTGCGTTAGTTTAACGAGCAATCGAGTAGATGTGTGCTCGGGCGTCCGGCCCATGTAACACAACGAGCCATTGTGTGCTTGGCATATGTTTTCTGTTTTTTCTTCTTCCTTGTTTCTTGTGCTTTTTAGGTTTTTAAGAAAAAAATCAAACATTATTTATTTATTGAAATTGAACAGTTTTGAAAACTATCAACATTACTTTAGAAAGTTTCCCAATATTTTTTAGATTATCTACTTTTAAAAAGTCTTTTTTCCCAAAAGTTGTGAACACTTTTCAATTCTTGAGAATATTTTGTAGAAAACGCAAACATTTTTAATTTGGGAATATTAAAAAATTCTGAAAACTTTTATGATAGAAAACAAAATAGCTAACGAAATATAAGTAGAAAAATAACAGGAAAAAAAGAAACTTCTTGAAGGTTCGAAAAATGCAAAACAAATACCAGTGCTGGTTCCCAAAACAGAAATCCTAGCTAGCTAGCAAAACTAGCCGCCTTGGCACCCCTAAAAAAAGCAAAACTAGCCGGCTTGGCACTTTTCCCCAATGAGAAGCAAATAGGAAGGTCAACTTCTTCTGCCCGTTGGGTATGATGGCAATTAAAAAAATTCGCACCAATAAACTATATTTGTCACGTTTGAAAAATGTTCACATGCTGTAAATGTAACTGATGTTAACTAAATTATAAATTCGGTGGAAGAGCTTCCACTGTCCCAAGTTCCTCAAAAAAATGTTCACTTGTTTAAAAAATATGTTCGTTAATTTCTTCAAAATGTTTATACAATGTAAAAAATGTTGCATAATTTAGAAATTATTTTTTAAATTCAAAAAGAAATTTCGTGTTTTTTTCAAAAAAAATCAGGAGTTCCAAGAATATGCTAGTGTCATTTAAAACATTGTTTATGCAATGTTAAGAAAAATGTTCGCTTGATTTTTCTAAATATTTCTTACCATTCAGAAAAATGTTCAAGGTGCTTTAAAAGAATGTTCAAACACTTGGCAAATGTTTTTGACAATTTTTTAAAATGTCCGTGCCATTTATGGGAAATGTTCAATAGGTGTTAAAAAAGATGTTCAACATGTACTAAAAATATGGTCTGCTTTTATTTGACAAAATGTTCAACGTGTAATTCAAAA